CATAAAATCTCTTTTTGGATGTGTTTTCACTGTGTTTGGCAGAGAAATCATTTGAAAAGAAACACTTCATAAGGTTGTTGTCTTATTAACCACCGAAGCAGAATACGTTGCCCCCACTGAAGTTGTGAAAGAAGCATCGTGTCTTGAAAGTTTTGCTAATGAGCTGAAACTTCAAGGTCAAACAATCACTATTAAATATGATAGTCAGAATGCCATACACCTGTCAGAAAATTCAGCCTATCATGAGCGAACTAAGTACGTTGATGTTAGGCTCATTTCGTTGGAGAGATAATGGAGCATGGAGAAGTCCAAGTGTTAAAGGTTTCAACCGATGACAATGTTGTTGATATGACCGTCAAGACATTATCAAATTGTAAGTTCTTCCATTGTATGCAGCTGATAAAACTGCATAATGACAACTAGTTCGTTTCATGGTTCGAAATTTTGTTCTAAGATAGAGATTTGTAGCTTTTGGATTATAAGTTAGTGTTGGATCAAACTCTGTCGAAGAGCTATTTTAGCTGTCGAAATATGTTAGGTAGTTAGCATGTCGAAATGAGTAAGTATGTTAGCTTATTTGTTTAGTATGTTAGTTAAAAGTTATAATTTTAGTTTTCTTATAAATAACATATTAATCTCCACTTCTCATTAACTCTGATTAAAGGAGAAAGTGGTTTGGTTGAGATTCAATTGTAAATATTAGTCTCTAATGTGTAATTAAATTAAAAATCTAAGATTTCATACCACTTTGAATTTTGTCTTTTTTTCTCTCTTCTCTCTTTCCAACTTTGTAGTTTTCTTACTGATAAAAAAACAATTTATATTTTGTTTTCATGACATGGATTTCACAACAGTACTCAAATCCAATTTATTTAGAATCCATGATGATAGAATGCTAAAATGAAATCCTAAAGAAAAGTATGAAAAACACTAAAATTAAGAGAAGGATAGAACTAAACTAAATAAAAATAAAGACTTTCATTGATTTCTTTGATGATCTTTCATCTCATATGAGAGTACATATATAATATCACTAATAGATAGTAGAATAAAGGCCCAATGACTAAAAGTTCAACTAAACAACAAAAGTCCAACTAATAAAATTTCTACTTCTAAATTTAATAATCAAATTACCTAAAATTAACTCCATGATCCTATCATTACCTACCCCTTCAAAATCAACCTTGTCCTCAAGGTTGTGAAACTTCATTGTTGCAATAACTTTCTTGGATCTTCAACTTTAACATCCACCTACAAAGCCTATTTTCATCCAATCCAAGAAAAGAAGAACAAAAGGATCTAACTGAGAACTTTTAGTATCATTTGTGATATCTCTCATTGTAATCTCAGTACCATCCTTACCAAATTTCATCATTCCTCCACAACCTCCTTCCAAAGTATACATTTTTGTTTTTGCTCACAAGTTGTTTGTTAAAACACCTCTGACACCCATTAAGACCATTAAGAATAACGTGGTGGAAACGTTGAACATGCTTGGTTTGACTAAGCGAATTGGAGATCAATTCTTGCTAACAAGTAGAAGTGATGCCTATGGTGATGTTCTTGCTATAGATAAGCAAATGCGCCATATGGGTATTGCTAATTTGACTATTTCTTTTGCAGGCGAGTTGCTTCATGGTGCTGAGGAGCTTATTAGGAGGGGTTTGCATCCTAGTGAGATTATTAATGGATATACCAAAGTTATTAATAAGACTGTTGAAAAATTGGACAAGCTTGTTGAGGAAGGTTCAGATAATATGAATGTATGTGATAAGGAGCAAGTTGTTTCTCGAATAAAAGCAGTTGTTTCCAGCAAGCAATTCGGTCAAGAAGATACTATATGCTCCCTTGTTGCTGGTGCATGTATTCAAGTGTGTCCAAAAAATTATGTAAACTTTAATGTGGACAATGTTCATGTTGCAAAACTCTTGGGAGGAGGACTGCGTAACAGTACAGTTGTTTGGCGAATGGTTCTGAGAAATGATATTGTTGGTAGTATAAAGAGAATGGAAAAGGCAAAGGTTGTTGTGTTTGCAGGTGGCGTTGATACATCTATAACTGAAACTAAGGGAACTGTTCTCATACATTCAGTCGAGCAGCTAGAGAATTCTTCAAAAACTAAAGAGGATAAAGTTGAGGAGCTCATCAAGGAAGTAGGAGAGTTGGCTTTACATTTTTGTGAGTGTTATAAGCTTATGGTTCTGAAAATTAGTTCTAAGTTTGAACTGCGTCGATTTTTCCATACAACCTGTGTTGTTGCTATGTCGAAGCTTATTCAACCAAATCCATATGATCTTGGATATGTCGATTCGATTTTAGTTGAGGAAATTAGTGGTGCAAGGGTTACCATTGTTAAAAAGGAAGAAGGTGGCAATTATGTTTCAACTGTTGTCTTGAGAGGAAGTACTGATAGTATACTTGATGATAAAGTGAACAGTTACAAGGCCATGTGCAGGGATAGCCGTATTGTGCCTGAAACTGATGCAACTGGAATTGAGTTAGCTAAGAGGGTGAAAGAATTTTCTTTTAAGGAGACAGGATTGGGTCAGTATGCTATAGCCAAATTTGCTGAATGTTTTGAGATGATTCCTAGAACATTGGCTGAGAATGGTGGGCTAAATGCAATGGAGATTATATCTTCTCTCTATGCAGAACATGCATCAGGAAACTCCAAAGTTGGCGTTGATTTGCAAGAGGATGTTTGTAAGGATGTCACAACAACACATGAAAGTATTGTTCTTGCATGCGAACTGTTTGAGAGATTACTGTTTTTTGTTTTCTCTCGTAATGGTTTGACAAAAGGGTCATTTTTCTCTAATTTCATTCATCAAAAGGTTTTCATTGAGCTGCTGTCAATAATACTAGTTAGCAGGGGCTGGAAACAACTTATTTATCCATGGAGAAGTGCCTTTAGCCATGATAGTGTTATTTCCCTACCAGATTATATTAAACAGTTGTTAGATAGTGCGTTTTACACAAGAAAATTCTTTGTGATCCATGAATCACTAGTATGTTTGAAAGAGGAGTTTGAGGAGGCAGTAAATGGTGGGATTCAGAGCCTGGCGATGGGTGCTCTATATAACAATTTTCTTGTTGGCGAAAATGATATTCAAGTCGTGAAGAATTTCACACATGGAATTCATGGTAAAGGTGCATTTGTGAATTTTGGTGATGGTTCAAGATCTACTTCGAAATTGGTGCCATCGACTTCCAAGAAAACACTTCTCATGAAAGCTGAAACCAAAATGCTTTTGATGAGTTCATTGAATAAAAATAAGATGCATTCAACACGGCTTCATCAATAAAAAAAATTTTTAAAAATTTTTTTTAAAAAAAATATAAAAAACACTAAAATTAAGAGAAGGATAAAACTAAACTAAATAAAAATAAAGATTTTCATTGATTTCTTTGATGATCTTTTATCTCATATGAGAGTACATATATAATATCACTAATAGATAGTACAATAAAGACCCGATGATTAAAAACTCAACTAAACAACAAAAATCCAATTAATAAAATTTCTACTTCTAAATTTAATAATCAAATTATCTAAAATTAACTCCATGATCCTATCACATGATAATAGAATACTCTTTGATTTGTAAAACAAACAGTTTTTTAAATTCGGCAACAACAATAGCTCGTAATCTTCTTAAAAAATTGAAACTTTAGAATAACAATATAAAAATCATATTCTATATTTAATCAATGTTATTTAGGTTGATCCGGTTCATCCTAATACAATCAACTAAGTAATGATGCATAGTTGAACCGGATGAAGAAACACATCAACCAGTAAGAATGTTAATATCTAAACTATCAACCCCCAAGAATGCTACTATCTTAACTCAACCCATGTTTTCAGTATTTAATTTATATATATAAGTTCAAGCTTTTAATTTTATGTATTTAATCATTACTTGTATGAATCGTGTTATTTTTGTACTTGAATCGATGAATATTATGTTGTTGTTTTTCAATTCAATGTACATTCAGAATCTACAATCCATATAATATTGTTTCAAAATAATGAAAATGAGTTGAAAAATTCACGCGGTAAGTAATAATTAAAAAAAAAAAAGTAAAGGACTTAAAAGAAACATACAAAAAAGAGAAGTTCACTTAATCTATTTGTTAAAACATTAAATAAAATTTTAAAAAATCAATTACGTCTATAGTTTACCACCAATTTACATGTCTTCTGGGTGGTTTCAATTTCTATCCCTAATATATACTTTTGTAACTTGCTCTTCTTTTACCGTTTTTACTTTTTAAAATGTTAATATTAATGAAAAATAAGAATGAAACCTAGTTATTCAATAATTTAAGGAGAATTTAACTTATGAACAATAGTAGATGAGTGTGACTTCAGCTTAATAGAGATGAAGCAACTGATTTGGGAAGTAGACAAGCATAAGTTAAGCTTATGGAGATGGCACGACTGATAAGAAAAGTAAAAGAATGTGTGGTCAGATAATTTATAATGCAGAAGAAATGTTTCTGATTGATTTATCTTTTAAAATCTAAGCTTTATCAATTCTCAGGACTGACTGAGACTTGATCTATTTTAAATTGTTTGAAGAATACATTCGATATTAGATACAGAAAATTTATAATTGAATATATTCAATATCATCGATTTTGTTCTTGTTAAGTGGTAGGGGTCATCCATGTCAAATTGGTTGTTTTGGATTTTTTTCTCTTTAGGCTTTTTAATAAGAGTGTTGTTCCTCTTCTTAGTTGTTTTGTTTTGTTTTTTCTTTAGTGCATGCCCCTTTTTATTCACCAATAAAAATACATAAATTAGAATATTTTGAATTTGTATTAACTTTTTAAGATATTAAATTACGATTTTACAAAATCATTTTATCATCAACCCTTATCAAAAAAATTTGACACTGACAAAAATATTAAAGTATTGTTGGACTCACCGTATTATTTTATTAAACTTAAAAACATCACATGCCCCAAATTCATGGGACCATAGATTACATACTTTAACTAGGTGCAACCACAATCACACCACACACATTCTCCTCTATGCATGGCAATATCATCACAACTGCATCAGCAACCGATCCAATCCAACAAGAAACATGAACAACCTTATTTTCTTCATGAAAAACAACCTTATCCACTCCAAAATCATCCCATGATGTAATACAAACAATTTGATTCTTAATCCCACTCTTTGTAACACTCTCAACCTCAACCACCTCCAAGAATTCTTTAACAACCAAACTAAAACTAGAACCTATTTTCATCTCTAGCTTTTCTTCAGCTTCTTCCATGCAAACCATTGCTAATTCCCTCCACAACACTTTGCTAAAATTTACATCCTTGGTAGTGATTTTGAATCCAACACTTTGAACTCTGTTTTTGTTTTGACTGTGGTTGTTTAAATCCTCTGTTGAGAGAAAATTTGGATTTTTTGAACCAAGGTAGTTAAATATGGTTCTGTCAATTTCTTTATTTGAGATTGAGGGTAACATGTTGTAAGTTTGTGCCCATTTATTTAGGAATTTTTTAACCACCACAAATTCCGCCAAGAAGAGACTACAACTAATGCCGATCGAGTATCCTCCACTTATAAAGCTTGTCACCTGAGAAAAAAATCACAAATTATATTTATTGAATAACTAATGTATCTGATATATTAGAGAGTATATGAATATGAATGCTTACCTGAACATAAAAGAGAGGAGAGAACTGAGGAAATTGAGTATCGATTTCATTCCAAAATACAAGTTCAATCTCGTGATCATCGCGTTTCTTTCTATTCAACTCAAGAAACTCGGACAAAGTGGTGGAACACCGAGCTTCCAAGAGTCGAATTCCGGAATCATTGGACACAATTTCGAATCCTGTTGCGTCATTTCTTTTATGAATTCGACCAGCTAGTAGAGGATGATCCAAAAGAGTCCTAGCTAGTGACTCCACAATCCAACTCGTTAAAGACCAATCATGATGTTCCTCTTCATCATTCTCAAAGTACAATACTATATGATAGCATCCTTGAATTTTCCTTATTGCATGAATCTTTTGATTATCCGTTTCATCGTTGAATAGAATTCGACGAACTTGTTGTGGTTCGGTTATTTTAACCGGTGGCACACTTGTCACAGATACAATTTGTGTCTCTTTGAGACACTGGTTTTCGGAGGCAACATCACAATGCTCATGATCCATTAATATTTTTGCTAGGTCCTCATTTCACTACATGCAGGGGAAGTATTTATAAGAAGAGAATAATAAATATTAGTTTACATAAGAAACATTTATTTTGTGGTTATGCACATTTTTCATGGAGAACAAGTTGTTTAAGTTTAGCAACACCATACTTTCTAAATACAAAGGAAAATAACTCGCCATTGGACATGAATATGGTAATTGGTTGGCCGTTTGATGAAACTTGCTTAATTGAGGATATGATCTCTCAATACGGAACATGATAATCTCCAGACCTTTATGCAAAACTGTCCACGCAAAAAAAAACATTTTTATTTTGTGCTTTTATAATATTCAAGTATTCATGAGGTCGCTATTATTGTTAACTGATACTGGAATGACTCACGACAGTGTATTGAAGGCAAACGGGAGGATAGACACAATTTGTCCAAAAAATTTCTCATTGGAAATCAGTGAATCAATCGGATAAAGCACAGTAAATAATTGTTTCTCAATAAACTTTGGATAACACGTTGAAATATAAGAGAGTGAGAGATATTTAAATAAATTGTGTGTTTGAAAAATATTATGAAAATTGTATATATATAGTGAAATACGGATTTGGATCTTTGGATTTTTTTTTTTATATATCATGTCATCTCTCATGTTTTTAATCTAACGGTTCAGATTTATAATGAATAATTAAATAAAAAAAGTCATTTAATTACTTATCCATTTCTCTATTTTATTAAATGATTTTTTTTATTTAAGACCGTTAGATTAGAAACATAAGAGATGTCATGATATATAAAAAATGAGAGGATCCAAATTATGTTAATTACATAAGAAATATGGTCCAGTATATTCTATTCTATTTTAAATAAATCTAAAGAATATTCTATATACAAATATTAACACTATAAATATCCATTTGAGAACTATAAAATAAGTTGGAGTTGGTTGACAATGACAAAAAAATAAGATGGAGTTTGTTGACAATAATAGTATCATATTGATCTCTTTATTCATTAGGATCTCATTCATCAAAGTGTACTACGTTAATTCTTTTCGTCTAATTAACGATGAAAAAATTTTAAACTCGATTGTTCAATTTGTCACAAATTAGATGAAAATGATTAATATAATACATTTTGAAGAGTCAGATAATCAATATAATATTTTTTAAATTAAGGGACTCAACATAAATCTCGACGAAAAAAAAATTAAACCAAAATTATATTGATTAACATCCCTTTGACATTAAAATAAATTAAACTTAAAAAAAAAAATAAGTAAAATATTTTATCAAAAAAATTCAAGAGATGTAATTGAGAAATTGTGAGATTAAAATTATGATAACAAAATTGAGTGTAAAATTAAAAACGAAGAGATGAAATCATAAACGAAAAATTAAAAAAATTAAAAGCAAAGAGATGAAATTGTAAAAGAAAGTTTGAGTATAAAATTTCAAATATCATTTATAAGTAAAAGAAGCTCTTTCAACCACTAGTTTATATGGTTATATGGCCCAAAACTGAACACAACACACAATCTCTCCACTCCACCACTCAACGGTAGATACATACTGCAAACTATCAAACACAAACTGAATTCAACATGTCCATGGCTACAACAACCTCGTCTTTTATGTTTCTTAAACTTCCCACCTCGTCACCTTGTCGTACCAGACTTGGATCCTCCAGAAGTTCCAAATTCATCAAAGCTCAATCTTCTGATGTCCGAAAGGAACATGTTGTCATTGTGGGTGGTGGGATCGCAGGTCTTGCAACTGCCCTATCCCTTCACAGGTTTCAACTCTTGCTCCTCAATCTCTCTTCTTTATCCACCATCATCAATCACTCTGAATCATGATGCTCTTAACAGGCTTGGTGTTCGGTCTCTGGTGCTGGAACAGTCAGAGTCGCTTCGAACCGGTGGAACTTCACTCACTCTTTTCAAAAATGGGTGGAGTGTGCTTGATTCAATTGGAGTAGCTGATAATCTCAGAACTCAATATTTAGAAATTCAAGGGTACATTGATTCATTGTTTGTTTATTTATTCACTTTATCACTTGTATTGTTGCTAAATGCATATATCAGCTGAGTTTGAGCTGGTTCATAATATCAGCTGTACAGGATGGTGGTGAAGTCAGAAGATGGAAGAGAACTGCGAGCCTTCAACTTCAAACAAGAGGATGAAAGGTATCTAATAATATTGTATACATAAATATTGAAAACTTGTATGTTATAGCGACAACGTCTGATACTGAGACAATACCGACACATGTTTGCTTCTGTCGATGTTTTGTTGTGCAGCCAAGAGGTGCGTGCGGTGGAAAGGAGGGTACTTTTGGAAACCTTGGCCTCTCAGCTACCTCGTGATACCATTCAATATTCATCACGGCTGGTCAAGATTGAAGCAAGTTCAAATGGGGATACCTTATTGGAATTCATAGATGGGTCTAAACTTCTTGCAGAGGTTAGTCATTGTGATGTATAGTGTGTTCGGTGTTGAAATTAAGCTAACTGTGTGATTGGTTATGACTCTGAAAACATAGTGCACAAGAGGATCTTTTACAAACCTAATGGCCAATTCTGAAATTCAGGTTTTGAAAAATGTTAACAAAATAATTCCATGTTCAAACAGATTGTAATAGGGTGTGATGGAATTCGATCACCTATAGCTAAATGGATGGGATTTTCAGAGCCAAAGTTTGTTGGTCATTGTGCTTTTCGTGGACTTGCCTCGTACTCAGGTGGACAACCTTTGGAATCGCGAGTGAATTACATCTATGGAAAAGGGTTGCGTGCAGGATATGTTCCTGTTTCTCCTACAAAAGTGTATTGGTTCATCTGCTTCAACAGTTCATCTCCAGGTTCTTACTAGTGACACTCCCATATATGGTTCAAACTAGTTAGTTATTGTTCATATGAGAAATAGTTAAGTTCAATTACAGGTCCTAAAATAACTGATCCAACGGTGCTAAAGAAGCAAGCTAAGGAACTAGTAGAAAACTGGCCTCAGGAGTTACTAAACATAATGGATTCTACGCCAGATGACACCATAATCAGGACTCCGTTGGTGGATCGATGGCTCTGGCCAACGATAAGTCCACCTGTTTCTGCAGGTAGAGTTGTACTTGTCGGAGACGCTTGGCATCCAATGACTCCAAATCTCGGGCAAGGAGCCTGTTGCGCACTCGAGGATGCAGTGGTTCTTGCTAAAAAACTTGCTCGAGCCATCAACTCCGACGATACTTCTGTCGAAGAAGCCTTTAAATCATACGGCAGTGAAAGATGGCCGCGCATATTTCCATTAACCATACGAGCAAACCTTGTCGGTTCTGCCTTGCAGTGGGATAACCCGGTGGTGTGTTCCGTTAGGAACAATATAGTCATACCTAAGCTAGTAAGGCTCGGTCCATTGCTGGAACACACAAATTTTACTAGTGAGAGTCTATAAAGAAGACTCTGTTGAATCAATGTAAAGAGAAATACTCTGTTGAATGTTCATTACAGCATATAATATAATACCACAAAAATTGAAGAATGATTCTGGATGAATAAACATAGAAACAAATCTACTAATACAGAACAGAGTTTGATAAAATATGTAGCTAGATTGAATTGAGAGAACCTTTGTTAGTTGATGTGAGGGGAAGAGAAGAACCAGAGGACGATAGCGCAGAGAAGAACGAGAAGAGGGATGAGATGAACTGCGTTCTGCGCTGATCTGATACGAGAGAGTTCCTTCCGTGAAACGTGGGAGAGAGGGTCGTATGTTGGTAGGTGGTGCTGTTGGTGATGTTCTGTCTCCATGATGTCCAAATTCCTTCAAACTTTGTCGCTGGATATTTCTCTTTTCTTTTCTTTTCCCTTGGACTTTTTCTACCTTCCGCCGACGTTACTTGTTAATGCGACCAGAGGAATACCTTGTTGCAAAATAATATAAATATTTTTATTCCAGAAAAGAAATAAAATTATTTTTTTCTTCTTTCTAATGTACTTTTACCTTTTATGACTGGTTACTTCTTAATGAGAAATGCTCCCATGACACCATATTTTACACAACCTAACAATGCTGCTTCTTAATACTCCAACAATTATCCCTCCTCCGTATAATTTATACAAGTTAATCATTTTACCTTTCAAACTTGTATTGAAAATTGAGAGAATCATAAGGTTTTTTCTCGTACTAGAAGTCTTGCTGACAGGTCCGACCGACATAGGGGTAGACAAGTAAGGCTTTTGCCTATTGGTTTGGGGATTTTTTTTTAATGTACCTAATGTTTTATTAGTGCACTTCGTAAAAATACAATAATACAATAATATCTTCAAATTTAAAAGATGTATCTCTAATTAACGGATTCCAAACACATACAAATAAAGTTGATTTTAAGTCACATCTCATATTCATGTTTGCATTCAAATATGTATTTCCGTAAATTTTACGGAGTTACATTTCCATAACATATTGAAGCTGAAGCAAAAAAGTATAAAAACCCGTAGGTTATAGGTTGACAAAATAGAACTTATTATCTTAATTCGGAGATACATCTCTAATATCACCTTATTATCTTAATTCGGAGATGTATTTCCAGAACCTGTCAAAATAGAACCAGACAGAAACATAACATGTATTAAATGTATATGTGAAACAGAAAAGATTATATATATATATATATATATATATATATATATATATATATATATATATATATATATATATATATATATATATATATATATATATATATATATATATATATATATATATATATATATATATATATATATATATACACACACACACACATAGTGGAGATCAAATTACTTATAATCATTCGTTTAAATCTAATTTAAATGTTATTGTGGAGTAAGTTATAAAAACTTACTTTTGGAGTAAGTGGATCCTCCCAGACATGTTTCCGAGAAATTGTGTCTTATAAGATAAATACAATCTCTATCATACGCACTTGCTATGAGATGACTCGTTTCTGAGAAGCGCATTCATGTATCCT